ATATTCTCCCATGGTATTGCTTCCAGTACTTTAGTGTTTTCCTGCATCACTTGAATCAATACATCAGTGTTCATGGGGACAGGAAGTTTAATAACTCGATCAGCAACTAATGCCATCATTTTTTCAACAAAAGAGATCTGCTGCATTTCAATACCATGAAGCCGCCACTGACGTGGAAGTTCCAGAAATGTTTTTGAAATTTCCTGCATAACCTTAATCAATAAGTCATTGCTCAGGTCAGGATGGTTAAGAAGTCGTTCAGTAACCGAATTCATCATAGCCCCTATACCTGATATCAGCTTCTTTTTACTGCCATCATCAAGTTCATATAATGATAGAGTTCAAAATATCTTTGCATTTTCATGTACCACCTGAATCATTTCAGCCCCTCTCAGGTCAGGATGGTTAACAGCTCGCTCGGTAACCAAAGTCATCATAGTTACCATACTTGAGATTTTGGTACTACCACCAAGGCGATGCCACGGTGCTCTACCTAATACCTTTACAATTTCCTGCATCACTTTAATCAATACATCAACATTTAGCTCAGTGTTGCTGACTATTTCGATTAGATCAGCTGTCAGCTGTTGAAAAACCTTTAACAATTCTTCTGGTTTGCTTTCCCACAAAGGATCTAATTGATTACTGAGAAACTCTTGCTCTGCAAGCAGTTTTGATGTTGCTTCGTCCAACTTGTTCTTCAAACTCACATTCTCCCTGTTCACTTCTTCTCGTTCATGTTGGATTCTTTGTAATTCACTCTGTAACTGAACAATCCTTTCACTTACTAAGGGTTGTTTCTCGTTCTCAAGGATGTGTAACTCGCGCGCTAGCTCGGCAACCTTCTTTTCTGCTTTTCTCCTCTTTTTTGATTCTATCCTTGATTCGTTGTAGATTTCTCTAACGTTAATCCAATCGCTCCAGGCCAGCCCGGTCATTGTGGTTCTGGGTAAATCCATGTCACATGACGAGTGCCTATGTTCTCTGCCTACAGAGGAACTCTCTTCAGTCGGTTTGTATCGATCTTTGAAATATGAACAAAATATGTAAGTACCATTATTATATTTCAAAAAACAATAATGTTTTCACTGATGGTAATGATTTTTCATGTGATTAATTACTAGACCGACATTACCGTRAAAAACTTAGCAGCTTATGACATATAAGYGAAAACTTGCGGTAAAATTTACATCCGATTATATGAGAGTAAGARCGTTATTGAAAGCCAATCAGCATCTAGTATACATAATCACGTAGTTCGCTGGGTGTGCAGAACACGGTTCGTTGGTCAAATAGTCTTCTTCACGGTTACCTGCGCCATCTTGAAAGGTAGCCGTGCCGGCTTTGCATCGAAGCGAGACAACCGTTGAGCGTGCAATGATAGAAACCTTCTTTCACACCTACAGACAATTATTCACAGGTATCTATCATTGCACGCTMAACGGTYGTYTCGMWTCGRTGCAAAGGCACGGCTACCTTTCAAGATGGCGAAGATAACCGTGAAGGAGACTATTCTCAGACGGATTTTAGCGTAAAAATTTTCGGAGTAACTGTCACTTGAACGTACGTCAAAATAAAGGCAAAATCTGAGGAAAACCGAAAAGTAATCTAGAACGCGCTAAAACCTTATGAAAAGATCGAATGTTTGAGGAAACTAAGTTAATTTTATTAGGAGAAAGCACAAAAATACAAAATTCAAAAGCTATTTTTTTTGTTATAGAGCAAAACATATGCGAAATATTACAACATGCACAAAAGTACAAAATGAAATATTTGTTTACAAATAGAATTTTTATGTTCACTCCCTAGTTTATTGTAGCTTATATCTTATCAATATGGTGTAGTTGTTGGATTATTTCCGATATCAGTAGCATTTAATTTACCGGAAGTGATTCTGCCTGGACAGGGTATGGGGACTGCGTCATTTTAGGTATCCCCCTCAGGGGCCCATCTATCACGTGATTTCTCTGTCAAGACCATTCTGCTTGGACTTGCTAGCTGAGAACGACCCGAATTGAAGTTCACGAAGCTATCTCACGATTTTTACCCACCAACTCCCCATTTCCTGTCCGCTAGGCCGTTTTCACAACTTTTGTATGACCACACCTTTGCTGTGCTACATGAGACTTGTTTTACCCTATTTAGGGTATGATATGTTAATTGCTCGTGTTTATTCATTTTTATTATTAAAGCGGCTATGAGATTTCCTCTTAGCCATTTTAACCCAATCTGTCTCAGTTGAATGCGCACCCAGCAACAGAGCTCAGGCCATGCAGTATAAGGGGTAGTATTTATGTTACGGGTAGGGAGTGACATAAATAACTGTACTACCGATTCCTTGTGCTCTTTGTCAAACAACGCTTCAAAATTCAACAAAAAATCTTTACTAGCTGCCATTCTTGTAATCACGCCTGCATTATCTAGCTTAAAACTTGAAAATGACGTGAAAACCTCACCGCTGCATTTTGAGAAATGTTCAATCACTGAGAAAAAACAAAGAGTTTTTTTAGATTGCACTCAGTTACACCAATAAAAGAACTCAAAAGTAATTTCAGAGTTTTTTTTGATACTTTGTCTGCAGTTTAGTTTACCTTTCATGGACTGTAA